CCCCAAAACCCCAAAACCCCTACATAAATACTCAATTTGAATATTGATGAGAGATTTAGTTATAATTATAATATTGTATTTTAAAATTAGCCTTGACAATTTGAAATGGAATTTTTCAGGAAAAAGGACTCAATAAAACCCAAACATTCTGAAGACTACAATGATAATAATACAATGATTTTCCATGAATTACCAGACGATTCAAGGTTTTCAAATGATTCTTTCATGGATCTTAATGTTACTAATATTACCTAAACTAATCTCAATAGAGCAAGCAATCTTGAAAATATGTTACTCAGACTGCCGTAAGTCTCAAATAGATAAATAGACGACAATAACCTGCTCAAACCATTCCATCATAATAAGTCTATCAAATCTGTAAGCTTTTAGAACTCTGAGGTCCTAGTTCATAATCACACTCCAAAGAAGAAGTCTACAGATGCTGCATTTTTACAAGTACCGAGGAATTTTGGCAATACTGGAGTATTGACAGAAAAAGCCCCCGTAGATCCTAAAAGAATTTCAATAATGAGGAGAAGCTTTAATACTCTATAGTCGATCACTAAATACGTTAAAGGGAGTTCCTAGCAATCCCCTTCAAGTAGTGAGTAAAATAGTCTAAATTTTAATGATGGCAATTCTAATACTAATGGGAATAAAAACAAAAAGAAACTGAAGTTTCAAGGTTCATCCGAGCCAGATCAAACTTTAAATGAAAGCGAAGAATTAGATAATTTGAAAATGTAACTTCCTGAGAGCGTTGTAAATCTTTTGATGCAGCCAAGAAGAAATATAGATTTAAAGGATGATCATAACTTTGAAGACTAGAAATGGACAGGAATGATTAATAACAATGAAAATCATGATGCCTCCTATGATGATAATATACTCTAATAAGCTCTTGCAATTTAAGATAATGACTTATAAAACTTTGAAGAAAAAAAGATAGATGTAAAAACAAAAGAGAAAATGCCATTTCTAATTTTCTCTTATAAATCCAAAAGCAGAATGTACTGGGATCTTTTAATCATTCTACTAGCTTTATATAATTGCATTATGATTCCTATAGAAGTATCATATAGTGGAAATTTTTTCAGCAGTGAAGAAAATCTAAGAATAGGCTACTTTGAATATGCAATAGATGGTCTATTTGCTCTTGACATCTTTTTTAGTTTTAGAACAACATACCTTGATGTAAGTTCAGGCAAGGAAATAACAGATCAAAAGATAATTGCAAAAAAGTATTTCAAATCTGGAGGGCTTGCCTTTGACTTAATGTCAACTATTCCAATAGATGAGGTTATTGCACAGATGATTCCACAAGATACTGCTAAGCATTTAGGGCTTCTAGGACTTATAAAAATGACAAGAATGCTAAGATTAAGAAAAATCATCAACTTTATGAACGTTTAGCAAAGCTTAAAAAATAGTATTAGAATGTTTTAACTTATCCTACTCTTATTGCTGGCTGTTCATTGGGTTGCTTGCATATGGTATTTGCTTGTAATCTAAGGTGTTGAAGATAACGAGGTCTGGAAGCCAGTATTTGATGATGATATAGATTCCTCTGACTTTTACAAAACGAGTACTCTCTACTAGTATCTTGTTACTTTTTACTATTCTGTTTTAATCCTTATTGGTAGAGCAAATGAAATGGGCCCGGTAACTTTATCATAAACAACTTACTGCGCTTTTATTCTAATTCTTGGTTCTTTTGTTTCAACTTTTATCTTTGGTAACATTGCTGCTACAATGGAGAGTGCGACAAAAAAAGATTCAAAACTTTCATAAAGACTTAGTTTAATTTAATCAAATATGGTCCTAATTAAACTGCCTGTACCATTATAAGATGAAATTATTAAATATGTGATGTAAGTAGAGCAAGCTCCAGAAGTATAGTACGATTTGAATATGTTTTTAGAAACTTTGTCACCAAGTCTAAAAAGTAAAGTACTTCACTATCTGCACAATAGAATCATCAGAAATCTGAGTGAATTTAAAGATGCTCATGAAGTTGAGATCAACTATATTGCCAATCATTTTAAAACTCTTTTAGTTCTGCCAACCAATAAAATAATTTAGCAGGGAACCTATGGATAGGAGATGTACTTTATAATAAATGGCAAGGTTAGTATAATTCTAACAATGGATATTAGCAAGAGTGCCAAATAATCATAAAATGATTAGCAAGAGTAGCAGAATTATAGCCCTCTAATCATAAAGAAGAGAAAGCTAGTTAAGCGTAACAAATTCTTTAATTCATAAGGTTCTAGTCTACAACAGAAATTATCATCTGATGGGAGTTAATACATAAATTAATAAATGCAAACCTCATAGGATCAAGTTTCTCCTCAACCTCCTTTAAGTGCCTCAATATATTTTGATCGCTAAAGTGAAAAGAGTCTTTAAGAGCAATCAGCATCACCGATATATAATAATAAGCAGGATATTGATGATTTAAAAGGTGGACTAGTTGAGAAAGAAGATTTTACTCTTACTACATTAGAATTTGGAGGATACTTCGGTGAAATAGCACTCTTATCTAAACTTAAGAGAACTACTACAGTTCAAGCTATTGATTACAGTACTTTATCATCACTTTCTAGAGAGACTATGGATATTATAAAAGTAGAATATCCATAGATCTATATGAACTTTAAGCGAAAATTAGATAACTACACTGATGATGAAATGCAAATGAGAAGAAGGTTTATAGCTAACATACCATTTTTCAATAAAATTAGTGATGAACTCATTACAGAGTTAATCTATCTTCTTAGAGAAACTGCTTATGACGGTGGCAATGTTGTTGTAAAGCATGGGGATTTGAGTGATAGAATTCATATTGTTTGGAAAGGTTTCTTAAGAGTGGAAATTTACTATAATGGAAAGGATCATTTCTTTGAAAAATTGAACCGTGGAAGTTGCTTCTGTGTATTCTCCGCATTTTCAGATGATTATACTTAAGTTTTTGATTTCAAAGTATTGTCAGAACAAGCTACCATTTTAACATTGAAAGCCAAAGATATGATTAAGCTAGCAAAACGGAATCTAGAGCTTGCTGATATAATAAAAACTCTAGAAATTTCAATTAAATAGCATTAGAAGAGTGACTTTGATTTCTTTAGATTCCTAAATGTCCATCCCGTATTCAAACCAGAGGAATATAGAAGGCAACTAAGATTAAAGTTTCAAAGAGTGCTAAGATAGATAGCTTAGAGACTTTTGAATAAGGAAATTAAGATGACTGAACCCCTACTAGTGGTATAATAAATCTGCAAGGAAAGAAAATTGAGGGAACAGAGATTGAGAATGATGATGCTCAAGAAAGATGAGTAGCTTCAATTTAATACTATGTCTAATAGAGAAAGGAGACCATCAACTTTGCAGTAATAAAATAACTTGCTCATCTCACAATCAAGCAGAGAACTACTATCATCAAGAAATGGAACCACAAGTGTTGATTCTTCTGTTTTACTTTCTTCAAGATTAATGAAGCATGTTAAAAATATTAATGAAATTGAGGAAGAGTAGGAAAGAATTACCAAAACAACACTTAAAGAAGAAGAATTTGAGTATGAAGATATTGCTAAGAAGAATAGAAAGTAGATGATTTCTCAAATTCTGAATCCATATGATGTCCCTGGAGTTGAATTAAAAATATTTGATAGGATTGACGGACTACCTAAGGACCAAAATATGTATACAAAAGAGCAGATCGAGGTATATGAAAATCTTTAAGCAAGAATTGAGAAATAAAAATAAACAAGAGAAAATGTACAGTTTCTGAATAAACTCATATTCTAACAGAACTCTTAAATATCCTAACTCAAGCATATATTTAATAAATAGACAAAAGAGCTCGAATAAAGAATATTTTCATTAGCATAGTAATCTAGGATTAGACAAAAATAAAAACTAGACTTAAGATAAATTGAGGAGCAGGAGAAATTAGTAAATATGGATGAATTCGTAAGATGCTAGTAGAAATAAGATATATTCAAGCAAAAATGCTGGTAATCTTTTGGATAGTAACAGAATGTTGACATTAATAGAATTGATGAGCAAATAAATAGTTTTATTACTGTAAACCCTGATGGAACATTCCTCACCAAAACTATAGAGTTCAGTTCAGCTTTCTAGCCTCTATAGATAGATGGTTCTAAAGAAGATATTCTAACTAAGACAGATGTCTCACACAACAAGCTACCAATTTCTGAGATTCCATCATATCAAAACATTTAGTTTGACTAATCTACAAATACCCTGGAAACTGAAGAATCATAAGAAGAGCAATTATAATTACCCATAGAGTAATAAAGATTTAAGGAAAAAGATAAGTCTGTCAGGAATAAAAGTAGGCCTAAATCTTAGTTCTTGAGGAGGGTCAAGCCATAAATGCTAGGTAAGAAGCTACAAAATGAGATTAATGTATTTGGTGATTAATCTCCAAAAGCTCAGTAGAAAATTACAACGATATAAAGGAGACTTTCAAAGTTAGATGAGCTTAAACCATAAATTAATGAATTGAGATAATAAAGGACCTTAGAAGAAGAAAAGAAGCAGATATTTAAGAATGAGGAGGAACCTGCCATAAAATTCTATGAGGATTTTGATTCTACAATAAAAAGAGCTGAGTCAATAGCTGTGAATAGTCAAATAAGTATAATGACACCTAATACTTAAAAGAAAATCAAGAGAAGCTAGAAGAAATAACTCAAATAAAGAAAATTTACTGAAAGGTAGATCAATTTAGATGATAAGATCACTGAGATAACATCCCAAAGTCATTAAGCAAATATAAGACCCTATAGCAGAGAGTAAAGCTAGAATTTATCTGAGAATCCTATCAACTAATAGTAATTCGGGAATCAGAGTCATGAGGTTAATTTTTCATCATTGCCTTAGATATAGGACTATTAGGACAATGATGATATGATTGGAGCTGGATTGAATATGCAATCAAGATTTATAAAAAAGAGAGCGAAATCAAAGTATGGGAAGGGAAAAGATGGTACATTAACTAATATAGATCAATCAAAGATTTAAATATTGCAGATCCCTGAAAGATCATAGACTAGAGATTAATCAAGAATGAGACCTAGGAGTTAAATAAGAAAAGGATCATCATAAATGAAAAACTCAGAGATTGATAGCAACAGCACGTTTAACTCTCATCTATAATCTAATCTAACTATGCTTGCACCAGGTCTTTCTTTTGGAATTAATAACAAAAACAAAAACTTAGTCGTAGAAAGCAGTAAGAATAATATATCAATCAGTACTAAAGATAACTAGCCATCTTTGAATTTCGGCTTCTATAAAAGATAGAGTTAAGATAATTAATCAAGTATTGAGTAGGATCAACTTCAATCTTTGAATAAATAAAAGAAAGCCAAATCTAAAAATAAAAAGAATAAATTGAAAAATCTCAAAATTCTCAGAAAAAATGAAGAAATTGAGGAAAATGTTTACAATGATGAATCTTTATAAGAAAATAAAAGTAGAAGCTAGTCTTAGAACGTTAAGAAAATTAAAAAATTTAAACTTGACTAGAATGATAAGAATCAATGGGAGTTCTATAAAAATGTTCCTATCAGCAAATAAGATAAATAATAATGATAGAATCAAGTGAATTTATTAATCTTAATTTCATAAATCTGACATTTTACTCTAAAATTTGGGGTTTTGGGGTTTTGGGG